CGCGCGGTCAGCCGCCGCTCTCCGCAGCTCCGCGCGCACGCGCGGTCCCACCAACGCGCCAGCGGCGTCGGGAGCGCCTGACCCACAGCGCCGTCTATCGGCCAGAGGCCTCCAACCAGCCAACAGGCAGGTACCCACGACTGGTCCGGCCGAGGAGCGCCGCGCCCCTCCTTCTCCCCGGGCCCCGCCCTAAAATCGCCCGCCCCCCTTATCCAGGCTCTGCTCGGCTCAACCACGTGTCTGTGCGGTCCCCTGACTCCTGAGCCGCAATCATTCCAACCCATTAGCTCCTTCCCTGGCCCCGCATTGTTCCGCAGCCTGTTCCCTTTCACAAAGCCGCTTGCTAACCCGCTCAGACGCACCACTCCTTGAGAGGCTTCCTCCAACGCAGGGAGAAGACTCGCTCTCGCTCTGACCTGCCTGGTCCCCTCAGCGCTCCTTTGGACAGCAGCGGCAGCTCCATAATTTTCTGGCATCATACACGCTTTTGAAATGTTAATAGGTTGTCCTTCTCCCCGGAAAATGCACCCTGCGAACGAGAACCCCTGTGGGGGAGATCTAATCCAATGGGTCCCAGTTTGCATTCTGTACTTTCTATTAAAACATACATTCGATTTCTCACTGAGGAAACGCAAACATCCTATGTTTTTCCCACACATTACCCAGTCTCCTCGTTCCCTTTCCCTCCTTCCCAGACTTAATCACCATCCTCAAGTGTTTCTAACTCTCCATCCTCCAGGTTCTAGCGCCAGATCCCCTAGAAAAGGCAGAGGGGCCCAGCCTCAGCTGCCCTAATGTGCCAAGTGGAGTTTGAGATGGCCTGCGCTGCTATCAAGCAGTTGAAAGGGCCGGTGAGTGATCGGGAGAAATTGTTGGTGTACAGCTTCTACAAACAGGCCACTCAGGGCGACTGCAACATCCCTGCCCCACCTGCCACCGATGTGAAAGCCAAGGCCAAGTGGGTGGCGTGGAACGAGAACAAAGGGATGTCCAAGATGGACGCCATGAGGATCTATATTGCCAAAGTGGAAGAACTAAAGAAAAATGAAGCTGGCTAGGGAGGACAGAGTGTCAAACAGAATGAAGTAGCATGGCTCTTCTGGTAGGGAATGGGGCTTCTTAAAAGACCTTGATGGCAGAAATGTCCCGAAACCGTAACAACCGTATCTGAGACATCAATAAATCACTTAAGCTGCATGATAGTGGTTGTCTGCTGTTGAAAAACTGATGAACTCAAACTGATTGTGAGAGTTCTGGGGAGGTATCCAGAATGTATAAAAAGCATCTCTCCTTTAGGGAAAGTTCCATCAAACTGGCTTTCTGTGTGATTCTGAGTAGAAAGTTCCCAGCCTTCCTATTGCCAAAGCACAGGTAGATACTTGGCAGGAGCAGAGGAACTGGAGGAGAATCATGCTTTGAAATGCGCCAGATTTGAGGTCAGTGAGACCATTCTCCAGAGACTTAGCCTCGGGCAGTGAAGGGGGAAAGGGAGAGGAGGCTAAAGGCCCCTTACCTCTTCAGGGCTTGTTGATTCACTGCTAACCAACATTACAGAGGGGAAAGAAGCTTTGTCTTCCAAAAAGCTAAAGTCAAGTCCTATTATCAAAAGATCCTGCTGAACACAGGCCTGATGAAGTTAATATTTTGAGGGAAGTCAAACTTTCAGTGAAGTAACTGGTGAATTGATGCATCCATCACAGCACAGCAGTTGAGAAACACTGGAACAGATGGTTTCAAAATCCTAGCCTCTGAAAGACTCATTTAAAGCCATGCAACCAAAATTTTCCTGGGACTCCTCCATTAGCTAACCTTGATTTCTGCTTGGGGATGTTTATGGGACAATATGCATACATATGTAAATGGGATTCATTTTAGGAGCACAACACATCCCTTGACCCATGCAAAGGCTAGGCTTGTTGCAGAAAAACGTGTTACAGCTTGGTGTTACAGCTTGGTGTTACAGCTCAGTGTTACAGCTCAGTTGTGACAGCAACCTGGATCACTCAGAGACTTGGAGAACTCAGAACTCAGGTTTATTACACCAGCGGGCCCAAAGGAGTTAACACTCCAAGCTCTGGACCCTGTCTGTAGGTTTACACAAGCTTTTATAGGCTGCCAGTTTATACTCTGCAACATCATATGCAAATAAGGTATAACAAAAGTTGATCAATCAGGAACACGCTTTGTAGAAATGGACCAATCAGGAGGGAGAGAAATAACCAATCAGGAGTGAAGGAAATAACCAATCAGGAGTGAGCACAGGAAACCAATAGAATTTTAGGGGTAAGTTCCACTTTCCTAGAAGTAAGCCCTTTCAGAGGCAAAAAGTGAGATAGAGCCTCTGGGCCAGGGAACCGGATGCTGCTGGCAGGAGAGTAATGGCCCTGCTTGGGGGTCCTGCCGGGCTTTTTATGGGGCTTTCCACCTCAGGCTAACTGAGCTCAGCTTTGCTCTTAGTGTTATGATGGCGGCATCAATGTACAATGGGGCACTGGGATATGGAGTGCTAAGTGGTATTATTATTAAAGGCATGTCAGAGAAAAAAGTCTGCTGTGGCACAGAATTTCCCAATACTTTTCCTCAATTAAAAACGATTTTAGGGGGTGGGGGGAAGTATAGCTCAAGTGGTAGAGCACATGCTTAGCATGCACAAGGCCCTGGGTTCAATCCCCAGTACCTCCCATTAAAAACAAGCCTAATAACCCCCCTCCCCCCCAAAAACAGTTTTCATAGCTCATGATACCAGGTCAGCCCCAGTTCATGAAGGATTATTAAACAATAGAAGCAACAACCATAAAGAAGACTTCAGGGGATCAAGGAAACCAAATCTCACCAGGTATCTTCAAGATCTTCTGTTCACATATTTGCAGGAAGTTGCTAAAGACTAAGTATATTAAGAATGAAGTAGACTCAGGATACCACAGTGACTAAAGAACTATTCGTTGTAACTATAAACTGGGCAAGACCTACACTCCACAATAGTGTTGTTCTCTCTTGTTCGGAAGATATTAACACATTCTGATGCTTTTAGGATCATGATTCACATTAAATGTGAACAATAAAAGTAATAGAACATCCTGCTCCAAAATGTGATGTCAATTCAGGAGCTGTAGGTATAGCAATACCATTCTGTAAAATCATTATAAAACCTGGAAAAATGGAACCACAATTAGGATTACAGCCGGCAACTGCAGGATGCATCATTTAAAAAAAAAAAAAAGGTACAAGCTACACAGTGTGCTAAATTTTGTGGGGAAAAGCGAGAAAATAAGAATATATTTTTTATGCTTAATAAATATGAGGCAGGAGGAGTGGGATTGATGGGACAGGTAGGAGCAAGACTTTTCAATGAGTACTTTTTAATGTAGTTTTGATTTTTGAACCACTGACTCTATTACATAATGAGGACTGAGCCAAGGGCACTTCTCTGCTGCTCTTTAAGGCCAGGGTAAATTTCCTACAGGTTTCCCAAGGGTAAAGGTAAGAAATCTTAAACCAAATTGAAATTTCCCATTAACTCTTACCATACATTTCAGTGGACAGGTTGGAGCCCTCCTGAAAACTGCTAAATCACAACGACATTGTACGACAAGTGACAGGAGAGATGGGCAGAAAGTCACATTAAGGAGCACTAAATGTCTACGGCTTTGCTAATTCCACCCAGATGTCAGACAAATGTGGACTTCATACTAACTCTCCAGGCTAACCTGAGAACTCCCACCACATAGCCACTATAAATCTCTGTGGATTTAAACTCAAGAGGTCTTTTAACTTAATATGCTAGGACCACAACCCCTCAAGTCAAAAAGCCAAAATGGCTACTCTGAAAACACAACTCTGGAGAAACTGAAGAACTTTCCAATTTCATCTGTTTAAAAACACCAGCTTGGGCAAAATTATCTTTAAAACTTTAGGGGTGAGTACAGCTCAGTGGTAGAGCTTACCTTAGCATGCATGAGGTCCTGGGTTCAGTCCCCAATACCTCTATTAACAAACAAAACAAAAACCTTGCTTAGTAGTTGATCATACCATCCGCAGAGGTGGGAAAGTAATCACAACTTTTGGTTTAAAATTACTAGCTGCACTGTGCAGACGTAAACATTTGGATTACTTGATAAAAGGCCAAAGTTGTTAAGTAAATGGTTTTAGAATTAATAAAATATTACAGATTACAACAAAAGAAAAAATGACAGGCATGAGTTAAAAGGAGGGGTGATATCATAAAGCCAAAATGTCCCAGGTAGATAAATAGCATTCACTTCTATCATGGAGAGCTGTACATTTAGGAGAAAAAAATGGGGGATATATTACAATATAACATAATGAGACAAAGAGGAATCTATTAAGTGTTTAGTACTTACATAAAGCACTTATTTTATTGTAACAAACTTAGAAGGTCGTATCATAGCAGCCTACCACCGTGGGAAAAGTACACTTTCTTTTCAGAACAGTACTACTAGAGATAAATGTCATTGATTTCATAATAATCTAATACAAAATCTGTGAATTGACAAATCATAGTCAAAGAGACAGAGTTTACCTGGTTATTCAAAATTTATATCATAATTTCCCCATGCGTAGGAAGAAAGTTGAACTAACTGCCCAGAGAAGGAGTATATATATAGCTTGGTTTGCTTTGAAAAGCCTTTTTTTCTGAGCTGCTTCCCTAAGATCGAGAATTGAAGTTGTACGGTGGAGCAAGGAAAGGATTTTTTCTCTTAGTGAAGGTAAGACCATGCTATAAGAAGGTGAGCTGAAAATTTAAGGCTGAAATTTCCCTACCCCTCCCTGCTAGCAAGAGAGAACAGCAGAGCCTGTGATTTACAAGTAATTTCATGTATATTATGCTGGAACTGGTATCCTCTGAGTCAATCTTTTCCAATCTCCTCAGTTTCTTTCCCTGAAGTTTGAACCTGGCCACCACTTTTTAAATAATGAGTCTTACAGACTGGTTTTGACAGCTTGATTTCAGAAGCATAATTTCAAAAGATATTTAATAATAACCATGCTCAACTTAATTGTTTCCAGTTATTAAAATTGATTTGTGCTGCAGAATCAAATATTTAAAAAAAATTTTTTTTCAGGCTGAAGAAATCATCTAATCTACTAAGAAATCTAACATGTTCTCTTCTTATGAGGATTAAGTATATATGTATATATAAAGAAACTAGCACAGAGCCAGGCATGTAGTAACACAACACATTTGATCCTTCCATCTGTTTTTTCTGGCTACCCAAAATTTTAAAGCAAGGAATGTGGGAGTGTAACCAAAATCTTTTGGTTCAAAACACAAAATTTCTTTAAAAATTTTTGTACGTCAAGGCCTGCCAGAGTAAGACATTAGAAGAGCAAACTGTCGTCAGATGCTGGAAGTACTCCTGCTGTAAGCAACTGAGTTGGATTTATTTGGATTTAGTTGTTCTCATTAAATCTACATGGTTATCAAAATTTTCTCCATCCCCAACCAGAGGTATTGTTCCACATAGCCATCCCAGGCCGGAGAGTGATTTATTACTAATCTAATACAGTTACACACAGAATGTGCGCCTCCAGTGACAGTGCAGATTACAGTAAGGGTGCTCCTCTAAATGGACTGATAGGATTTTCTAAAACATCATCAGAGCTTTCAAAGATTAAAATACACATATCTTTACCACTTAGCCTCCTTGCCTGTACAGTAAACAACCAAGTTGTGAGAGCATTTATCATACAATGCATACGTCAGGCCTCACAGGTGTTCGACAGGAATCACAAATGCTTGTTTCACGTGATGTCTTCTGCTAACCTGAAGCCTTTGGTTTATTTCGTACAGCAAACCATTCATCACTTTTATCTTTCGCCATTGCCTATAGAAAGAGAATTAGAATATTTATTTATTCTAAGTGCACCAAATAAAACATATAGTCTACTTTGTACCGCACTGCATTGACCACAATCGAGAAATGAACAATTAATGGTGCTCAGTCAGTATTTATGTTTGACAGAGGGTGCAGGGGGGTATGGAGCAACGGCTTGTCCATTCTCACTTTGCAGAGTAAAGGGCAGAGCTGCAGCGAGGAAGCGTGGCTGCCCACTGACGGGAGACAAGGCCCGAGCACACCAGGCTGCAGGCTCTTTGGCGAACAGGAAGTGCTGTCACTCTTGGCATCTGGGTGGGCTCTCAAGAATCTTTAGTTTCCTGGAGACTCTAATCATGAGAAATGTGAAAAGCTATTTTGACATTTTAGTAATGAGCCTGGAACAAATGATTTCCTTTTTCCATGCCTCCTCCCATACCATTCCACTGATGTTGGTAATATTTGGTTGGTCTGGGGCCTCTTAATTAAAAAAGAATCCTTGTTAATAATATGTTTTGGTTCCACCAGAGTCCTTTTATTCTATTATTCCCTGAGGCTGAGGCCACAGAGGTGGGTTTGCAGGGAGGGTTGTGCTTAGAACTGAAGTCTCTTAAAATTTCCAGTCTTTGGGTGGGAGAGACTTACCCCACTTACCAGCCTGTGGGGCCAAAGCAGTATCCTTATAATAACCTCTACCTGGAACGAGGCGGTGAGCCCAGCAGACAACCTGAGCCAGTGGTTCACTGTGAGATCTGAGGAAGCTTCGTGGGCTTTGTGTTCCCTAACTGACTCCCTCAATCCTAGAGAATAACCTTATTGAAACCCCTAATAAAACTCAGTGCTGTGGGGAAAAAAAAACCTGGTCCAATACAACCAAGCACATGCTAAATAGCTGTTTGGTAGGAAAATACACTCATTTATTCATCAAAAAGCAAGTACAGAATTACAGTCAGGCCTCTGTATCCACAGGTTCTGTATCTGTGGATACACAGGGCTATGGGACTTCGGCATCCTTGGATTTTGGTATTCCCAGTGGGTCCTGGAACCAACCCCCCGTGGATACTGAGGGACAACTGTATCTTTAAAATGCCAGTTTTCATTATGAGCTAGATATTATGCTGGGTTCAGGTGTGGAAGCAGAGACAGTCTGAGGCTTTGAGGAGCATATAGAATAGTTGAGGACACAGATGTGGAAACAGCTATTTTGCACAAGGGCATGCGTGTGTGTGTGTGTGTCTTGGGGTATTTGCTGTAATAGAACCACAAAGTGTTATCAGACCAAAAGGAAAAGAGTAACTAACTAGTAGGAGAAATAGTGTGAAAACACTTAGCAGGAAGTCAAAAGATGTCGCAACTGAAAATGAAGAAACAGAAACATACAGGGGGTGGGTATAGTTCAAGTGGTAGAGTGCACGCTTAGCATGCACAAGGTCCTGGGTTCAATCCCCAGCACCTCCTGTAAAAATAAATGGGCCTAATTCCCCTCCCCAAATAAATAAAATTAAATTAAAAAAGAAACACACATTTTTCATTTAGAAACAGTAAAGCTGAAAGTGGCTGCACTGGGACTCAGAGATGGGGCAAGACACCACTGCACTGCATTCATAAAAAATCTTAGTATTATTTGATTTTTTATTTTGATGAAAATAAAATGGATTTAAAAATCAAAAATATGCAAAACAGAACAAAAAACCCCCACAAAGATACAGAAGTTCCTGTCTTTTAGGAGCCATCAAAAGTGAGCAGAAACAACAAACTGTTGTGGAAAACTCAAGAAAGCTTCTGAGTCTTGAAAGATGAGCTGAATAAGAGCGGATGGGAAATAAAAAAAAACCAACTCTTGGGTGGAGGCAAGAAGATATATCTTGGTTAATATAAACAGTTCACTGGGACTGGAATGGGGTGAGTTAGGGAGGAGAGGCAGCATAGATCAGGGCCAGATGTGTGACAGGCTCTGCCAGAGTCTGGAACTTATCTTGGAGGCAACAGAGAGCCATTAGAAGATTAAACAGTTTTTCAAATTACTGGATTTGTGCTTTAGAAAGCTAATGCTGGCAGCAGGGATTGACTAGAAGAGGGAAGGAGGCTTTTGCAGTATTGTGGATGAAAATGAGAGCCTTTTCAAAAGGGAGGTTGACAGACAAAGAATTTCAGAGGTAGAACTCAGCTCTTGGTGACTAACAGCTAATAGAATTTAGGGGTGAGGAGAAACAATATTCAAAAATGGCCCTGTTTGTATATCTAAAATTATCCTAAAATGGATCTAAAAATCAAAAATATGCAAAACAGAACAAGAAACCCCCACAAAGATACAGAAGTTCCTGTAAAATAAAAATAAAAATAAAAAGCATATTAAATGTTTAAAAAAACAAACTGGCTCTGAGGATTACAGCTTAAACAACTGTGATAACAGATACACAGTGCTGCTCAGAGGAGGGAGCAGGGTAAAAGAGGAAGGAAAAAAACTGGCTTTGAAACCTGAAAGGCCTCTGTGCAAGCCCTTGCCCTGCCACTTACTGAATGTACAATATTGGGTGACTTACTCTTTTGAGCCTCAGTTTCCTCATCTGAAAGGGGAATGCTACCTACCTTGCAGATTATGGTAAAAGCTAGAGAACATATATAAGGCACTTAAGAAAATGTCAATATAGGACTTGATTAATAAAAGTAACTTATTTTTCCTTTTTTTTTTTTTAACGGAGGTACTGGGGATTGAACCCAGGACCTTGTGCATGCCAAACACGTGCTCTACCACTGAGCTATCCCCTCCCCCTATTTTTCTATTATTAAACGAAGAATGGATTTGAAGTAAGACATTAAGTTACGGACACATGGAGTTGAAACGTCCATGGTTTATGAGTGAAGAGGTTTCTTTGGCTGTAATACTAGTCTAACACAAAGAACACTAGGTATAAAAGAAAAAGCTGGTAAGTTGGGCTTAAAGAAATTTCTGCTTGAGGGAGGATATAGCTCACTGGTAGAGCACGTGCTTAGCATGCACGAGGTCCTGGGTTTAATCCCCAGTACCTCCATTAAAATAAATGAATCTAATTACCAGCCCCTCTTCCCACACACGCAAAAAGATCATTAAAAAAATTTCTGCTCTTCAAAAGACTCTGTTAAGAAAATAAACAGGCAAGCCATCAAATGGGAATAGTACTTGCATTTGCAGATAATTAACAAATGACTCGCATCTAGAATTCCAACAAATCAACAAGAGGTAATTTTTTTAAAAACATGGATTTAAACGGGCCTTGAAAAATAAGCAAATACTCAAATG